TGGCTCGCAGTCGGCGTTCCAATTCATCCCAAAGGTGTTCGATGGGGTTGAGGTCACGGCTCTGTGCAGGCCAGTCAAGTTCTTCCACACCGATCTCCTCAAATCATTTCTGTATGGACCTCGCTTCGTGCATAGGGGCATTGTCATGCTGAAATAGGAAAGGGCCTTCCCCAAACTGTTGCCACAAAGTTGGAACCACAGAATCGTCTAGAATGTCATTGTATGCTGTAGCGTTAAGATTTCCCTTCACTGGAACTAAGGGGCCTAGCCCGAACCATGCACAACAGCCCCAGACCATTATTCCTACTCTACCAAACTTTACAGTTGGCACTTGGATCGCAGCAGAACGCTGGTGTGGATGGACAAAATCAACATGTACGCGATGGTGCATGATGATGCACGCCCGTGCCCGGTGTAGTCAGCTTCTGACGCATATTTTTTTTTATGGAAGGGGTGGTCCAGAGAAACTACCCTACAGCGTTACATGCTGACGAGACCGGCTCTGCACGTGCGTCTGCGTGCGCCATCGTTGACTCAACCAGTTTGTGCCAAGTGGGTTGACATCTGATTGATTTCTTTCCATGTCACTCTGTCACCTAATTTCCTACTTCTCACACTATTTCACAGTTGTCACTAGTTACCACAGCCACAAATGGCTAAACCCTGCCTATTTCTACAATTTATCTTCATAAATTCTGATTTTAAACCTTAACCCTAACCTTAACCACACTGCTAACCTTATACCTAACCTTAAATTATTTTTACGATATAGTCAATTTAGACTTTGTGGATGTGGTAACTAGTGACAACCCGATTTCAGCTTATTTTAACCAGGTAAGCCAGTTGAGAACAAGTTCTCATTTACAACTGCGACCTGGCCAAGATAAAGCAAAGCAGTGTGATAAAAACAACAACACAGAGTTACATATGGGGTAAAACAAAACATTAAGTCAAAAATACCACAGAAAATATATATACAGTATGTGCAAATGTAGCAAGTTATGGAGGTAAGGCAATAAATAGGCCATAGTGCAAAATAATTACAATTAGTATTAACACTGGAATGATAGATGTGCAAATAGAGATACTGGGGTGCAAATTAGCAAAATAAATAACAATATGCGGATGAGGTAGTTGAGTGGGCTAATTTCAGAAGGGCTGTGTGCAGGTGCAGTGATCGGTAAGGTGCTCTGACAACTGATGCTTAAAGTTAGTGAGGGAGATAAGAGTCTCCAGCTTCAGAGATTTTTGCAGTTCGTTCCAGTCATTGGCAGCAGAGAACTGGAAGGAATGGCGGCCAAAGGAATTGTTGGCTTTGGGGATGACCAGTGAGATATACCTGTTGGAGCGCATACTACGGGTGGGTGTTGCTATGGTGACCAATGAGCTAAGATAAGGGGGAGATTTGCCTAGCAGTGATTTATAGATGGCCTGGAACCAATGGGTTTGGCGACGAATATGTAGTGAGGACCAGCCAACAATAGCGTACAGGTCACAGTGGTGGGTAGTATATGGGGCTTTGGTGACAAAACGGATGGCACTGTGATAGACTACATCCAATTTGCTGAGTAGAGTGTTGGAGGCTATTTTGTACATGACATCGCCGAAGTCAAGGATCGGTAGGATAGTCAGTTTTACGAGGGCATGTTTGGGAGCATGAGTGAAGGAGGCTTTGTTGCGAAATAGGAAGCTGATTCTAGATTTCACTTTGGATTGGAGATGCTTAATGTGAGTCTGGAAGGAGAGTTTACAGTCTAACCAGACACCTAGGTATTTATAGTTGTCCACATACTCTAGGTCAGACCCGTCGAGAGTAGTGATTCTAGTCGGGTGGGCGGGTGCCAGCAGCGTTCGATTGAAGAGCATACATTTAGTTTTACTAGTGTTTAAGAACAGTTGGAGGCTACGGAAGGAGTGTTGTATGGCATTGAAGCTCGTTTGGAGGTTTGTTAACACAGTGTCCAATGAAGGGCCAGATGTATACAAAATGGTGTCGTCTGCGTAGAGGTGGATCTGAGAGTCACCAGCAGCAAGAGCGACATCATTGATATACACGGAGAAAAGAGTCGGCCCAAGAATTGAACCCTGTGGTACCCCCATAGAGACTGCCATAGGTCCAGACAACAGGCCCTCCGATTTGTCACATTGAAATCTCTCTCTCTTCTGAGTAATAACTGTATACACAGTTAGTTCTCCTTTTTATATTGTGGTTTCCACTGAAACAGTATAGTTTTGTGTACCTTGTAGTTCCGTGAAAGGCAGCTTCCTTTTTCTCTCAAACTTTCAGTACAGTCATTAATCAAAGAGAACTGGTCTGGACGAGAAAAGCCACAGCGGGATGTCACAGTGCAGGCAGGCATGAGGCAAGAGGTTGATTTCATGTGTACTATGATTTCATTTACTGTGTACTATGGCAACTAAAATATGAATTACAGTAACACATACTTAAACACGTTTCAATAAGATGAGATGCAACAAAATCGAAACGTCAGGGCGTTGAGGCAAGAATGGAACCTCAGAGAGATGAGATCAGCTCAGGGCCAATGATATCTCAATGTGGAACAGATTCAGTCACAGTCATATTTCTCCCACTGGGTGCTACTGCCACTGTATTATACCCCCGTGATCACAGACCCCACTAACCAACCCTGAATCCTAGTCTAATTTTTGTTGTGGCTGCATATAAGAAGTTGAAGTTTCTCAGCCAACATGACCCCATTGGCCCCATGTGAGTATTATAAGTGACTTATAAGAAACGTAACAGTTTCTCTTGTAAAAAAAGATATGTCTGATATTAACAACATGGTTGTCTTTCTGATACAATGTATCACATTCCCTAAATATCTTTATGGCTTGAAAATGATGCAATTTATGCACTGAATTAAATTGTAATACCACATTATGATGAGAAATGTCCCACAGACCAGTCATCCCATAGGAGCTGATAAACAGAGGAGCACAGAAGAAATGCACAATCATTTCACAGCAGAATTGTATGATGTATGTACAGTATGTCAATAATGAATGGCTATGGTTTTAATGTATCAACTTATCTGTCTGTCATAGCAAACATGTTTTAGTCTGGAGGCCTCACTCTGTTGCCATGGTTTACCAACAGTGAGAAGGTGTGTTTGTGAGATGGTACTGTAATTTCATCCACGTGTACATCTCTCCTTTAGGAGGCGCGTGTGTGGGGAAACACTGTCTCCATGTGCATGCCTTAAAGATGGCAGCACTTATCTCTGTCCTCAATCAACGCTAATCCCAGATTAAAGGAGAATGCCACTGGACTGGGATTATGCTGTGGGCACTTCCATTTTATCATTGATTCTCTACCAGTCTCTTCCTGTCAAATTTGTATACATCCTCTGCTGTGCGATTTTGTTCTTTTCTATTAATTTGTGTTTACTCATCACTATAATCTCTGTTTGTTTTGTTTCGATTTTTCTCTGTGTAATATGTATCCATCCATTCCCGTGTGATCATATTCATGAATATTACCAGCTGTTAACAAACCCCTTGTGGTGACATTAGCATACATTCTGGTTGATAAAAGCCAACATTTAACTGGCCTGACAGTCATGGTTGGCCTACATTAGTCAACGTAGACCTTGAAAGGAAATCATTGTTTTAAATGACTGGAATATATGCACAGCCTGGTTTAAACTGTAGACATTATAAAGCCAATGCCTAATACTAGAAAAGCAGCTATGAGACCACCATTTTAGTCCAACCTTAAAATCAATACAACCAATACAGCAAAATGAAGAATACATGCTCATTTTTGTTCCTATCATGGATATATTCTATGAATGATGACGATTGTAGAAGAGCAACTTTACTATTACTAGTGCTATTCCTGTAATAATTATCATGCTTATTATGTCACCTTTGATTCCTCTTCCTCACCTCATGTTGTCACACAGATGCTCAACTAATCTAGTGGCATTAAACACATTTGATGGTTGTCATTTGGCAATCCATCTCCATAGCTCCAGATTAGCTGGATGTTGACTGTTGATGCTTTGCAGATGTTAAGAGGAGGATTTAGGAGGATGAAGTGATATGATAAAACGATTTGGGGGTAGCAGAGTGCATGACTGTGAGGTTTAGATGAATGACTGGCATATGGCAGACACTGGCATTCAACTGTATGCAAGGGTAGGTTTACAGAGGTACAGTGCCAAAGGGATAGTATTATTGTGCTGACAGGGAAGCAATAACTGAAAATAGTGGCATTGACAGGTAGTATAAACCTATTTTATGGTCAATGGTTTAAATAAATCCATGGTAACTATCCAAAAAGCACATATGCTTTTCTAAAAATCTGAATAAGCAAGTGGAACAGATATGTTGAAATATTTTCCTGCTGACATCACAATCACAATGCAATTCTAGGGAAAACCCTGGATCCACACTCTGAATGTGGGCTACATGCTTTTTATTTTTTATCTGGGGAGAATCATGATTAGAAACTGTTGGTTGTGTTATCCCCACCCCGCCCTCCCCTGGCTCCAGTTTGTAGGTTACTGAAAGATTTCAGCAACCACACATAAGAAGATTAGAGAGGAATTAACGTCATTCCTTTGTCATTATAGGAATAAATTGATATTTGGTTTTAATCAGAGGGAGGGGAGAGAGGACAGTAGGGAGAACAGGATGTGCCCTGAGTAGTATAGAAACACGAGCCATAGGGACTGGCACTAGGGCACGGGCAGGCAAAAACACAAGCTGGAGGGACATTTTGTGGCACTGGAGCTGACCATTGGAAGCCTGGATCAACGTGCAGCATGTAACAGAGGACGAGAGGGTTGTATAACACAGATCTCTCAGAGCTCTGCATGTGCGCGGTGAGGTAGAATGAGTGCTGCTGGGATATGGATGGGCCACCGGACAGGGACAGTCGTGGTGTCCCACTGACCTCCTGGAAGATCTCTGAGAGATAGACTCAGACGCATTGGGAAGACCTCCTGGTTGCTCCCGCTCTTCCAGCCCCAGACATGAACCTGGTGCTCCTGGCCTTCAGGCTGATGTGTCTGGCCTGGCTGTGGCCTGTCACACTTCTCAACGGCAGCCACCGACCCAACAAGAGGAGGCACAAGGATGTGTACCTTGGGGAGAATACCAAGAACCAACATGGAGGGTGAGCCAGATTCTAGTAGTGTGGTCCCACTGGAGTTGTGTTATGTTCTTGTCAACGGTTGTGTTTGCTTATCTGTTCTGTTTGGTTTGAAGCTGGTTTGTGTATAGTTCTGGTAGCAACGTTTAATTTAGTACACACACCACAGGACGTTACTGTTCTGTTGATCTGTCGTCTGATTGATATGGTTAAAAGGTTATTTTTTGGGGGGAGTTGTATTGTTTAACATGGAATGCTATTCATGGATTCAATGCATCAATCCAATCTCTATAAATTTTCAAAAACACTGATGGTGAATTTACCATGGTCGCGTGAATGATCTCCAATGTGTGCTGGGACAGACGTCATTACTGCAGTGCATTGTGGATAAAGGCCAGGGCAGGTGAGGTAACCACAGGGACTTAGAGGTAATGTTAGGGGACCCGTGTTTGGGTGGGGACACCTCGTAAGAGAGAAGCAGTAGTTTGTGGGTAATGATGGAGAGGGGTGTTGATAAGGGGGTTGAGTGTACGCCAGAATATGATTTGTAATAATAGAGGAGTTGTTTGTGTTTGGGTAGTATTGTAAAATTTGAATATCAGTTGACTGAAGCTTCGTATGATGCTATTTAGAAGCTTTACGAGTGATGATGCAGGGTGTGTTGTCAACCAAATTGGAGGGATTCATCAATCATGTCATTTGACCCTCGACTAACTGTAATGTGAGAGTTTCTGGGAAGACTATATAATCCTCCAGGACTAATTACAAAACCAGCTCAGCTCTGACTCGACTGACAGGAGACCAATTAGAACAGAGGGGAGAAGGTAATGGGCTAAATCATTATTGAAGAGCTCTCACATTATGTAGACACTTACTTTAGGTTTTAATGACATATAAAGTGAAATGAATAATTCTTAACAGCTAACACCCCAGAGCAGATGTTGCTACCTTAAGAGAGTGTGTAGGTATGTGTGTGTGTGTGTGTGTGTGTGTGTGTGTGTGTGTGTGCGTGTGTGTGTGTGTGCGCGTGTGTGTGCCAGTTGGTGTGAGTGTGTATTTCTGAGGAAATATTACATCTGATATGCTGATCTGTGTCCTCTTTGCTCCTCAGACGAATAGACTTTAAGATGAAAAAGTCTGACAGCACCAAGTCCCTGCTAATTAAATCTGAACAGCTGCTCCGTATCGAGGACCATGACTTTGCAATGCGGCCTGGCTTTGGAGGTAAGACCATCCACCCAATCTCCTTTGGCTTGGTGGGTATACAACAAATTTGCCTGTGGTTAACTATGATAATGTATCGTTTGGATGTGACTGTGTGTGCTTTTACCAGCACGTGTTGGGTTTGACTCATTAATTAAGCGTGAATGGGGAAGTCAAGGGTCATTTGAGAGAGGGAAGGGAGGGAGAGAGTGAGAGAGAGAGAAGGGGGGTGGATAGAGCGAGACACAAACAGAGAGAGAGTGTGAGTGAGTGAGTGAGTGAGAGAGAGAGAGAGAGAGAGAGAGAGAGAGAGAGAGAGAGAGAGAGAGAGAGAGAGAGAGAGAGAGAGAGAGAGAGAGAGAGAGAGAGAGAGAGAGAGAGAGAGAGAGAGAGAGAGAGAGAGAGGATAATGGAGATTTACCTACAGTAATTTGTTCTTATAGATAGTCCATAACGTGCCACACAGCAGATCCATACAGATTAGGTATAATTCAGGTTTTGGAAGAGGCAGCGTTGACACTAGTACCGTAGCTTGTATGCTCTCTCCTGGAGCAGAAAGTAGGTTACAGTGTCATCTTTTGTAACACCCCATTCCAGAAAATAAATCACTGACCCAGATTGTCTGCAGATCCTAGCAGACATAGACAGCCTGCGGCCGGGTACACAGATGTTAGAACTATAGTAATCTGGATTACGGTCCACGCTTTCTGAAACAATACCAAATGCTAAATCTTACTGGGCAGTCCAGAGCAGCAAAGAGTCCCATGCATACAGTACTACCACAGTATGGTCATTAGGTATTCAGACAGTATTAGATTGAACTACTGATCATGTTTATGAATGTTTGCATGTGTGTCAGTGTTTGGGGTCCCACTGTAAATCAACTGTCGCTGTGACATGTATTTACATAACAGTTATACTGAAGGCTATAATGACCGTTTAGGTACATATTTCTAAATGTGGTGTGATGGCACGTTATGGATTTATGTGCATTTAGGTTTCCATCTGTCTGTTTTCCTATCTATTCCAAACTATACCTGTGTTTGTCTGTGTTTGTTTCTGTGTTGTCTAGGCGAGGTGGGGTAGGGTCGATGGAGAAAGTTAATCCCTGTAACGTTGAAATTAGATTGGGCAGGTCACAGAGAAGAGTACATTTGGTGGAATTGAAATTAGGAAACCATTTTTCCCTGAAATTGCTTATCTTTCAAAGAACTCATTTTGATACTGCCATGAGCACTTTAATCCTACCAAGGCAGATATGTAACTCTGTCTGTTTGCTCTACAGACACGTGTGAGGCAGGGGCAGTCCAACTCAAACCCCTGTGATGTATTTTGAGGGACTATGGAATAGCTCCTCATTCATTTGATATGTCGGAACGGTAGATGGATGTATCTTGATTATATATGGATGTATATTGATTATAGATGGAGGTATATTTATTATAGACGGATGTATCTTGATTATAGATGGACGTATATTGATTATAGATGGATGTATCTTGATTATAATGAGATGGACGTACAGTGCATTCGGAAAGTATTTAGACCCATTCCCGTTTTCCACATTTTGTTACATTATAGCCTTATTCTAAAATGGATTAAGTAAAATGTTTTCCTCATCAATCTACACACAGAAATACCTTATTTACATAAGTATTCAGACCCTTTGCTATGAAACTCAAAGTTGAGCTCAGGTGCATCCTGTTTCCATTGATCATCCTTGAGATGTTTCTACAACTTGATTGGAGTCCACCTGTGGTAAATTCAATTGATTGGACATTATTTGGAAAGGCACACACCTGTCTATATAAGGTCCCACAGTTGACAGTGCATGTCAGAGCAAAAACCAAGCCATGAGGTCGAAGCAAATGTCCGTAAAGCTCAGAGACAGGATTGTGTCAAGGCACAGATCTGGGGAAGGGTACCAAAAAATTTCTGCAGCATTGAAGGTCCCCAAGAACACAGTGGACTGCATCATTCTTAAATTGAAGAAGTTTAGAACCACCAACACTCTTCCTAGAGCTGGCCGCCCGGCCAAACTGATAAATCGGGGAAGAAGAGCCTTGGTCAGGGAGGTGACCAAGAACCGGATGGTCACTCTGACAGAGCTCCTGAATTCCTCTGTGGATATGGAAGAACCTTCCAGAAGGACAACCATCTCTGCAACACTCCACCAATCAGGCCTTTATGGTAGAGTGGCCAGACAGATGCCACTCCTCATTAAAAGGCACATGACAGCCCACTTGGAGTTTGCCAAAAGGCACCTAAAGGACTCTCAGACCATGAGAAACAAGAATCTCTCGTATGATGAAACCAAGATTGAACTCTTTGGCCTGAATGCCAAGTGTCACGTCTAGAGGAAACCTATCACCATCCCTATGGTGAAGCATGGTGGTGACAGCATCAAACTGTGGGGTTGTTATTCAGCGGCAGGGACAGGGAGACTAGTCAGGATCGAGGCAAAAATGAATGGAACAAAGTACAGAGAGATCCTTGTTGAAAACCTGCAAATATTTATAAAAACCTGTTTTCGCTTTGTCATTATGGGGTATTGTGTGTAGATTGATGAGGCGGAAAAACTATTTAATCACTTTTAGAATAAGGCTGTAACGTCAAGGGGTCTGAATACTTTCCGAATGCACTGAAATTATAGATGGATGTATCTTGATTATAGACGGATGTAGTAGGTTTTATGTGATAAGGACTTATAGAATGAAAGGAGATATGGAGAGAAGCCATTTATGAGTTTGGTGACACAGCGTCTCTTGGATCCCTGAGTTATGAGAATGCTGTGTCTGTGGGGAGGGGAGGTGTGGGGCCCTCTGGTCTTTGGGGTTATGTGGGGCCCTCTAGTCTGCAGCTGTGTTTAGCAGGGAGAGTGATGGACAGGATAGTCACAACATAGGGCTTAGCGGTCGAATGTTCAGCGTGACCACAGTGTCACAGTATCTCTGTTGAGACCAAGCATAGCCCCAAGTTGCTCTTTGACCCCCTTGTTTGGGTTTCTCTCTTATTCACAATTTGTTTACCCAAAATGTCATTTAAAGTATAGTGTTTGGGGTGGTTTACAAATATTTTGGTAAACCACCCCATTTCTCACAAACTGTATAACTAAGGCTACATGTGCAGACAGATGTGATATATTCATGATAGGTCTTGTGAAACCCAGTGATGCTAGGTCATAAAATAGCTTTCAGGTTGAGTCAGTCATTGAGTCATGAATCCATATGACAGCACACAGCCAAAAGCCTGACTAAACTTGCTTGCCCTGTCAAGATAGACATGTGAAATCTCAAGCTGTTTACTGATTGGGGCTGTATTTTCACCCCTGTAGGGGCAGCTATTCCTGTGGGCATAGACGTGCAGGTGGAGAGCATTGACAGTATATCTGAAGTCAACATGGTAAGTCTATAAATGTGCGTGTGTGTGTGTGTGTGTGTGTGTGTGCGTGTGTGTGTGTGTGTGTGTGTGTGTGTGTGTGTGTGTGTGTGTGTGCAGACGTTTTTAACTATTCTTGTGGGGACACAAAAATAGTAAACAAACATACATTTTATAAACTGGGGACATTTTGTTAGTCCTCACAAGGTCAAATGCTATTTCTAGGGGGTTTAGGGTTAAGGTTAGAATTAGTGTTAGGGTTAGGGTTAGGGTTAGGGTTAGGGTTAGGGTAAGAATACAGGTTAGGGTTAGGTTTAGGGTTAGGGTTAGGGGTTAGGGAAAATATAATTTTGAATGGGACTGAATTGTGTGTCCCCACAAGGTTAGCTGTACAAGACTGTGTGTGTGTGTGTGTGTGTGTGTGTGTGTGTGTGTGTGTGTGTGTGTGTGTGTGTGTGTGTGTGTGTGTGACCAACCCACTGAAACTCACTTTCACACAATGAGACAACCCTTATATTCTGTCCCTCATCCTTAATGGGATAGTTCACCAAAATTACAAAATGGCACATTAGTTGCCTTACCCTGTAAGCAGTCTATGCACAAGTTAAAAAATGCTAATATCAGTACCATGACTTAAATGGGATTTGTGCCACAAATGCTAAAATGTTAGCATTTGGAAACAGTACCAGGAAAACCAAAGCATGGATTGCTGTCATACCTTGTCCATAGACTGCATACAGGGTAAGGAAACCAATATGTCATTTTGTAATTTGGGTGAACTATCCCTTTAAGTGTTGGAACTCTGTTCGACTCTATTCTGCCCAATTTAATGTTGAGGCATAACAGTCAAAGTCACTTTGACCCTGCATGACCCTGTCTCTCGACCTACTGTACATACAAATCATTTATGTGAACCATTATTGAGATACAATTACTCACACATTGATAATGTGATAGTTTGTCTATCGGGCCTAAGCCTTGGTGTGTTGGTGTGTTTGTATAGGACTTCACCATGACTCTGTACCTGAGACACTACTGGCAGGACGACCGGCTGGCCTTCCCTTCCAGCAGCAACAGGAGCCGGACATTTGACGCTCGGCTGGTGAAGAAGATCTGGGTGCCGGACGTGTTCTTTGTCCACTCCAAACGTTCCTTCATCCATGACACAACCATGGAGAACATCATGCTGAGGGTGTACCCTGATGGCAACATCCTCTACAGTGTCAGGTGCACAGAGAATGGGCCTCCTTTACCACAGGAAGCATAAGGCCTTTAGGATAGTGTACTATTATGTGCTATTATACACATAGGATACATGGGAGAGTTGTTTTCTGCAACTGCTGTATTGTGGTGCATATTATTGATTTTGCACTTTGCTTTAGGATCACTGTGACTGCTCTTTGCGCCATGGACTTCAGTAGTTTTCCGTTGGACACACAGAATTGCTCTCTGGAACTGGAGAGCTGTGAGTATAAAACAATAAGGGTATTTGGGTGTATTGCGATATATTGTATATTAGCTCACGTGTATTCATAGAACACAATTAATACATAATATGGAAGAGTTGGCCCTCCTCTTTTTATATAGATTAATTAACATTGGTAATCCACGGTCAGGTCAGTTTGTGTCCATAATACATGTATTTTTGATGCAGGATTTACCAGGGATTAAAAGTCCTGTTCATCTTTAAAGGAAGAGCAGCTGGGTCGTTCCACAAATTGAGTGCCCTTTGCACCCCTTTGATATTTTAAGTAGAAATTGTGCACAAATATTTAATTTTAAAAGCTTGTTTTATTAAATGAAGTGCCCTTTAATATAGACCACAGGGACAATTCAATAAATCTATTTTTTTTATATGAATAAAGACTTGCTAAAGTGCAAAAATTCTGTATTTCAAACATTGTCCCTCTGTGCACCCTCTGTGGCTTCTAGGAAGATTTTAACCCACTTAACCCCAACATTTCTCCAAGTTCACCATTATTGTAAAGCCCTTGTTGCTTTGACAAAGTAATTCCGGAGATGTTTATTTATTTAATGTTATTAGTGATTCATTTTAAGTTTTAAAAAAAGAACACTTTTTCTTCCCACCAAGTTACACTACTCAAAAGGCACCTAATTGGTGGAACGACCGAGCTAGAGTCAAATTGAAGTTGGTCATTTCTTATCAGAGTTGTTTTAGTACACTGACGTTTCAATTGTCATGATTGTGTCAAACCCAATCTCAGGAGGCAGTGCAGTGTACCTTACCCAGATTAGAACACACACACAAACACAAACCACACACACACACACACACAGAAAGCATGGGCCTGGTCTCAGAGCAGATGTGGTAATACTGAATCTCAGTGTCTCTTCTCCTCTGAGGGACATAGCTCATGATTCTTCTAAGAGAGGCCACATGAAGGAGTCACCTTCTCCCCTGTTCTCTCCTCTCTTGAAGACGCATACAATGAGAACGACCTCATGCTCTACTGGAAGAACGGGAACGATTCATTAAGGACTGACGAGATCGTGCTCTCGCAGTTTTTTATTGAAGAATTTCACCCTTCCTTCGGGCTTGCCTTCTACAGCAGCACGGGTATGTGTGGTTGTGTTGCACCCTGATGCATAGGGGCCCACAGTGCTGTTCCTCTGTCCTACTCCTCTGCTACTCACCTTATTATTACGTAACTTAACTGCTCTGTAAGAGCCAAAGCCAACATCCCAAACCCTCCTGCTTCTGATTCCACTCTGCCAGTCTGAGGAGAGCGAGAGTTTAGGAGATTTTCCTCCACAGAGTGTCAGTGTGGAATCCTGCCCAAACCTCAGTACTAACGTGTCCATTGCATCATAGCCATGTGATGTCGCATGTGACTATAATTCTGACTAGATTCCTTCCTGTTTCATAATGAGCTCTGATTACCCAGAGTGATGGTGATGAACTGTTCCACCAAGAGAGATCACTGAATGATCCTCTTTAACTTTCTCTCTCTCTCTCTCTCTCTCTCTCTCTCTCTCTCTCTCTCTCTCTCTCTCTCTCTCTCTCTCTCTCTCTCTCTCTCTCCCCACCCCACTCTCCCCCCACCCTTCTCTCCCCCCCCCACCCCTCTCTTTCTCCCCCACCTCTCTCTCTCTCTTTATCCCCCCACCCCACCTTTCTCTCTATTCCCCCCCCCCCCCCCCCCAGGTTGGTATAACAGGCTCTACATAAACTTCATCCTCAGGCGGCACATCTTCTTCTTCATGCTGCAGACCTATTTCCCCACCATGCTGATGGTGATGCTCTCCTGGGTGTCCTTTTGGATTGACAGGAGAGCTGTGCCCGCCCGGGTCTCTCTGGGTACAGTACTGATAGTCTCACTACTAGTATGAGGGGTTTTGAGGGATTTTCCAGAAAATAACCTAAGCTCAAAAACATAGCAGAGAAGGCTCACAAGGCCATCAGCTTTTTCTGTAAAGCATTCTTGATGCATCCCCATAAACAAAATTGGGTGGGTGCTTTACATTTCTCTGCCTTGTCACACCCCTGTTATTACTATAAGGTGAAGAGGGGACGATTGTGCACCAATTTCCTATTGTGTTCCTGCTGTGAATGGGCGTGTGAATATGAGCCTGCTGCTTTGACAGTTGCCAGAGCAGAATTAATTAACAGAGAGAGAGAGAGAGAGAGAGAGAGAGAGAGCACAGCAGTTGGGGTGGACACGTCATCCCCCTCCAATCAGAGGTAACTGAAACTGAACACAAAGAATGTTTAGTTTTGCACATGACTATAGTCACCTGTACCAGGCGAGATCCCTTCAGGCAGTGTGTAGGTGTCTGTGAAAGCTTGTTTTTGTTGGAAAGAAGAGAAAGGGAGGGAGAGGGAGAGAGAGAGAGCGAGAGAAGAGAGAGAGAATCTAGAGAGAGACTCGAGAGGATAGAAGTAAATCCCTAATATCTCGATAGAGCCAGAGTATATGCGATCAGCGAGGAGAGCGCTATGATCGCTTCTTTTCCCTCTCTTTCTTTTTCTGCCCCGCAAACTCCTTTTCTCTCTCCCCTCTCTCTCTCTCTTTCCTCCCCCCCGCCCTCCTCGTCCTCCCTCTCTCTCTTTCTTTCCCCCTCCCCCCGCTCCTCCTTCGCCTCTCCTCTTCTTGCCCCCTCTTTTTCTTCCTTGCCCTCTCCCCCCCGGGGCTCCTCTCCCCCCCCCCGGGTCCCCCGCCCGCGCCCCGCGCCCGCCCCCCCGCGCGGGCCCCCCCCGCCCCGCTCCCCCCCCCCGCGCCGGGCCCCCCCCCGCCCCCGCCCAGCCTTTGCCCCGCCCCGGGCCCCCCTCTCACTCGCTTCTCCCTCTTTGCGCGCTTTCCCCGCTCCCTCCTTTCCCCCTTTTCCCTTCTCCTCCTTTTTCCCTCCCTTTTTCCCCTTTTCCTCTTTTCTCTCTCCTTCTTCCTCTCTCTCGGGCTTTTCTCTTTCCCTTTCCCCCTTTTTTTGTTTAAATTTTTTTGCCCAGTGGGATGGCTTCACCCTGGGAGCAGCGCAGCTCTTTAGAGGGTCATACCGTAACAAAAGCTGGCCTAATTTCACTCTGCAACAAAAAATATAAATAAAATAAATAAATGTCAACCCCATTAACACAGAGTTTGTGTTTACACACTGATACCTATTGTATACTGTAGCTCAGTTGGTAGAGCATGGCGCTTGCAACGCCAGGGTTGTGGGTTTGTTTCCCACGGGGGGCCAGTATGAAAAATGTATGCACTCACTAACTGTAAGTCGCTCTGGATAAGAGCGTCTGCTAAATGACTAAACTGTAAAAATGTAATAAATGAAACCTATCTTCCCACTTCAGCGAAAAAAGTCCCATTACAATAAGAACGAATATACATGTACAGCTAGCTTCTCATGGAAGTAGAGCTCAATGTACAGACTCCTACACCATTTCTTGTTTGTCTTTCCATCCATCTATGCTAAACCTCCATACAGTTATACACCTCATTATTTTTCCATACGTTTGCCTCTCTCTTTTTATCATCGAAGGCTGTCATGGTACAAATACCTTGTGGTGGTGAAAGAAGGCTTAGAAAAACAGATTGATCGAGAATGATACCTTAACTCAATAATCTCTCTTTCTCTCGCTTTCTCTCTTTCTTTCTCTCTCTCCATTTCCCACTCTCGCTCTCTCATTTATCTCTCTCTCTCTCTCTCTCTCTCTCTCTCGCTCCCTCTCCAGGCATCACCACAGTTCTGACCATGTCCACCATCATCACAGGCGTGTCAGCCTCCATGCCCCAGGTGTCTTATGTGAAAGCGGTAGACATCTACCTGTGGGCCAGCTTCCTGTTCGTCTTCCTGTCCGTCATAGAGTACGCCACCGTCAACTACTTCACCACTGTGGAGGAGATGAAGAAGCTCAAGGGGGGAAAGGTCACTGACACTTACGGAGTCTATAGGGTCAAAGTTCATGGGTTAGATAAGTCACAGAGTGAGGGATCATGTGCATGGGTATATTATGAAATATGGAACATGCTACCACTCTCAGATCCACAATATAAGTGCCAAAGTAGGTTATAACAATAACTCCCCCTACTGGTCATAATGTATTCTACCATCGGAAGATCATTGAATTTAAACATTTAAATTCCCTCCCCTCTCTCTCCTCAGATCCCTGCCAATTTCAATGCCACTCAAACTATGGCCTTTGATGGATGTTACCATGACAATGACATTGACCTGACGCCCTTCCCAGAGCTGCCCAGTACCCCCAACACAGAGCGGAGTCGGACGGCCACGTTGAGGAACTCGAGGAACTCTGCTGCAGAGCCCCCGCCCACAGAGGGCACCAGGCTACGACGCAAAAAATCCATCAAACACAACCTCAGCTTCATCATGAGCAACAGCTACATGATCGACTCCTACTCCAGAGTCGTCTTCCCCATCACCTACCTGCTGTTCAACATCATCTACTGGAGTTTGTACTCAAGTAGGTGAATACACTGTCAAGTCTACTAACAGTTCATCATGCAGTGGAGTATTGGAGCGTGTACACCTAAAGCAGGATTGTCTAATGACTTCTGAACTATATTACCACTGTATATTATCTATTAGGTTATTCACACTGACAACAGCATCATCATCAAGCCGATGTATTCTGCCGCCCACTGGATTATGACCTTAACCATTGGTGTCTACCAGAGTGCATTGTGGGAGTTTTGGACAGTCAAGCCCTACTGAAGAAGAGATACTATTGTGTAAACCTGCTTTTTATTAGAAACCTGTTAGAATCCGGGTTCAGGTGTGAAGTTGCTGGTGCTGTTCATATGACTGCTTCTGCTGTAATGCACAGTTGTTGTTTTTCTCCACTGGTTTATACATTTAGTTACTGTGAGTAGTATGAATTTAAATGTGTATGAAAATGAACGTGCACGTAAGTCTTTTATATCAGTGAATATCAGAAAAATACAATATCAGATTAGCTTAAAATAAATTTCATTTTATTTATACATTTGTTATTAGTGAAATAACATTTCATTATACAGCCATTGTTCTGATGCCACTTGAAAATATATATACATATTTATAAACTGGGTGGTTGGAGCCCTGAATGCTGATTGGCTGACAGCCGTGGTATATCAGACTGTATACCACGGGTATGACAAAACATTTATTTTTACTGCTCTAATTACGTTGGTAACCAGTTTATAATAGCAATTAGGCACCTTTGGGGTTTGTAGTATATTGCCAATATACCACGGCTAAGGGCTGTATCCAGGCACTCCGCGTTGCGTCATGCATAAGAACAGCCCTTAGCCGTGGTATATTGGCCATATTCCACACCCCCTCGGGCCTTATTGCTTAAATATCTCATGGAAATATCTTGATTCTGAGTATAGTATAAAAGAGCTTTGCCTTTATCTTAAATTAAATCAAACCAGGTAGTGACAGAGTGTTAATATGCGTTAGCTTATGCCTCTGAATAATGTGGAGAAAAACAAGAAAGCATGTAGTATGCAGTCAAAGGATGCAGCTCATGAGGATCTATCAGTTGGGTTTTTCCTCTGTGCTACTGTAGATACCTTTTCAGTACATGTATTGATATTCACAATCATAGGTGCCAGCCCAGACGAGTTCATGATAGTACTGGTAGGTCAACTAGACGAAATCCATGAGCATGCTGGCTCTTTGGTGATGTCCCATCTCTTCAGTGTGGTCTGTCACACACTTCCATTAAACTACTAAATGCAGCATTAACATTCAAATATTTAATATAAACGTAGAAAATAATATGAAACACACTGTCTCACGTAAGTCCGTTCCTCACCAGCCTACCCTAGGCCTAGTGTTTCCCAGGACTCAGGGTGCTCTCTGACTCTGAGTCCTGAATTGGCTGTTCACCTCGTTGAGGACCACGTCTGAGTTGAGCTCCTCAAGGGCTGTGATGGTTCTGTCGTCAAATGGACTTTCTGAAATGGGATACATCGGAGTTACAGCTTATTCTGTACACACGTTACTGCATTGAAATCCTTAGAGGGGTATTTCTGAGATGAACTCTACATTAAAGGACCACGTATAAGGAAAGTAAATCACGGTGGATACCCTTACAGCAAAACAACATGATTTCACTTGTGGAGAATCACATGATTTCACGTGTGAAATTTCATGTGAAATCATGTGTTTTTAGAACACATCATGTTTTGACGTGTAGTTGTGTAAATTCATGTGGTTTTTCCGTAAGGGTAGGCTTCGAGTATCCTATATTCAAGGGACAAATTATTCTGGTGATTCACTGTTTATAACTAAATGTATGACATTCTTTCAGACATCTGGCAGCAGAATGGATGAAAGGCCATTTTCATGACCAAGAGCAGATAAACAAGCAACAAGAGAGCAGAGACACACGTGACTGGTGGAATCAGAGCCAGCTGGCAGCCAGCAGCTGAGCCAGGCACATGGGCGGGGCTACAGTTAGATAGTCACTATTTGATTGGATGGGTTAAGCTGACTAAATCCTGCTGTAAAGTGTCACACACATAGACACACACACTCTCACACACTGTTGCAAACAAACACACAGCAGATACTGTGCACCATCAGTAAGAGGCTAAAAGAAGTGAGGCGCTATAGCCGTGGTCGAAGCTCAAACTGTACGGCTAGCTCCAATTCTGGGTAAAATGATGTCAAAGGGCAAAGGTCATCTCAGAGCCTGTCACAGATATTTCAGAGGTTACATAGGTCATCAGTGAGATGGAGATGAAGGCTTGCTAAGCCATCCCCTCCTCTGCATACAGAGGTTTAATATGATGTAATGCTTTATCAGGGGCAGAAAGTAGATCAGCATATACAAAAAGTATTTCTCTATTGTTGTCTGACCCATATTGGTTGTTAGTAATCCCTGATTCCCCCTCTCTGGATCCCCTTGCCTACCTGTTGCTCCACTGGGCCGCTCTGGGGAGTCACCAGTCAAGAAGGAGGAGCTGGAGGAATGATTGAACTGGGAGGAGTTGTAGGAGCGGAGAGATGTGGCTCTGGTCACTGACAATGACTTCTTCCCCGTCTTCTGTGTAGCCGTACGGCTCCAGTCTGTGATGAAACAAGAGTTAATTAAAACCTCTCACATTAAATTACATAAAATATCTTAATTCAGGGAAGCAAAAGTCATTTCGCTACCCAAGAATAGTAAAGCCCCCTCTACTGGCTCAAATAGCCAACCAATCAGCCTGTTACCAACCCTTAGTAAAAATTTGGGAAAAATAGTGTTTGACCAGATACAATGCTATTTTACAGTAAACAAATTGACATCAGACTTTCAGCACGCTTATAGGGAAGGACATTCAACAAGCACGGCACTTACACAAATGACTGATGATTGGCTGAGAGAAAATGACGCTAAAAATATTGTGGGAGCTGTTTTGTTAGACTTCAGTGCGGCTTTTGACATTCTCGATCATAGTCTGCTGCTGAAAAAACGTATGTTATGGCTTTACACCCCCTGCTATATTGTGGATAAAGAGTTACCTGTCTAACAGAACACAGAGGGTGTTCTTTAATGGAAGCCTCTCCAACATAATCCAGGTAGAATCAGCATTTCCCCAGGGCAGCTGTCTAGGCCCCCTTTTTCAATCTTTAATAATGACCTGCCACTGGCTTTGAGTAAAGCCAGTGTGTCTATGTATGCGGATGACTCAACACTATACACGTCAGCTACTACAGCAACTGAAATGACAGCAACACTTAACAAAGAGCTGCAGTTAGTTTCAGAATGGGTGGCAAGGAATAAGTTAGTCCTAAATATTTCAAAAACTAAAAGTATTGTATTTGGGACAAATCACTCACTAAACCCTAAACCTCAACTAAATCTTGTAATGAATAATGTGGAAATTTAGCAAGTTGAGGTGACTAAACTGCTTGGAGTAACCCTGGATTGTAAACTGTTATGGTCAAATCATGTTGATACAACAGTAGCTAAAATGGGGAGAAGTCTGTCCATAATAATGCGCTGCTCTGCCTTCTTAACAACACTTTCAACAAGGCAGGTCCTACAGGCCCTAGTTTTGTCACACCTGGACAGTCGTGTGGTCAGGTGCCACAAAGAGTGACTTAGGAAAATTACAATTGGCTTAGAATATGGCAGCAGGGCAGACCCTTAAATGTACACGGAGCTAACATTAATAATATGCATGTAAATATCTCATGGCTCAAAGTGAAGGAGAGATTGACTTCATCACTACTTGTTTTTGTAAGAAGTGTTGACATGCTAAATGCACCGAGCTGTCTGTTTAAACTACTAGCACACAGCTCGGACACCAATGCATACCCCACAAGAAATGCCACCAGAGGTCTCTACACAATCCCCAAGTCCAGAACAGACTATGGGAGGTGCACAGTACTACATAGAGCCATGACTACATGGAACTCTATTCCACATCAGGTAACTGATGCAAGCAGTTAAAAATACACCTTATGGAACAGAGGGGACTGTGAAGAGACACACACACAGGTACAGACACACGCATACACACACAAACACTAGCACACACACTCTACACACACATACATTGTAATATTGTTGTATGGTGGTATTATACATTTTGTATTGTAGATATGTAGTGGTGTACTAATGTTATATATGTACTGTTTTATCTTTTGTTTTATGTGTGATGTAAGTGCCTTAATGTGTTTGGACCCCAGGAAGAGTAGCTGCTGCCTTGGCAGGAACTAATGGGGATCCCTAATAAATACAAAATAAAAATACATGGAAAAAATGTTGTAAGGTGTAGGTCAACAGGTCTTACCTGAGTTCTCTGCCAGTCTCAGTCTACCGCAGCAGAGATAAGTCCTCCACTGCCTCCTCACATTCTCCTTCACAGCACAGTAGAACACAAAGATAAAGAACCCTGGAAGAGAACACGAGCGTCAGGTACCTACACTTTTTGTTACACACTTGGCAACAGGTTTCCCAAGAAACTCCCCAGACATTGTGTCGGTGTCTTCTCTGAGAACATTAATGGTGAATTCATTTTCAAATCAATACAAATCTGGAGGAGTTCTAAATCTTACCTTGAAAGGAGTTGAAGATGGCGAAGAGGTACATGAAGGCCAGGTTGACGGGCCCCCAGGCGAAGAAGGCAAAGCCCCAGGTGAGGCCCAGGAGTAGGGTGATCCCAAGCACACTGCGCAGGTCCTGAAGCCCGTTACGGTGTCTCATGTTGTGGGGGTTCTGACTCTTTATACGACAGAGCTGAACCATCACCACCACAAACATGCTGAGGTTCAACAGGAAGATGACACAGAAGTAAGCCACCACAGATACGTAGAAGGCAATGTTGTTCTTCAGCCAGCAGCTGTGTGAGAGGAAAGGAGAGAAGAGATATGGGCTAAAATACAGGAGACCATATTTGAATTGATCAGCTATCCTATTATGCAGATGCGAATACTGGTATAAATGTCATGATGCACATATACACGCACTTCATACCAAGACTCCAACTGTAAATTGGCATGTTAAATAGTGAACAAAATGCAAGGGACTCACAAGTCATCTGTAGGGGAGCCATCTGAGTACTTTCCGTAGCCAACAAGGCCGTAGTTGTCCTTATCAACAGCAATAACGACGATGACCACAAGGAGTGGGACGCCTGACATGAGAGACAACAGACTACATTGAACTGTAAGTAACTGTTACTTTTTTATAAGCACGTGGTGGCTTTTTTTCACTCTGACGACAGTCACAGAATATTTTTGTCACTTACCCCAGCCGACGAGTGAGAACTTGAGCATATAGCGTGTTATGTATGTGTTGAAGACCTTGACGAGGGCCAGGTACATGTGGACGGCCTCCAGGCCCATCCAGGTGAAGGAGGCCAGCAGGAAGTAGTGTAGGAACCAGGCGGTGGAGATGCACAGGCCAACAGCATCAGGGTAGAGGGCCAGCCAGGAGTCCACCAGGAACACCAGGTTTAAGAACAACAGAGCCACACACAGCTGGATCAGGATCTTAGATGGCATGTCCTTACGCAGTTTCCTAAAGGAACACCACGAAAGGAATTACGATTGGTATTACATTGATTAGAGCTTGTTTATATGTCTTTGTATTTAGATCTCCAGGTGGGTGTCATCATGGATATACTGCGCTGATCACAAGGGGCTCAGACTCACCCAAAGGCCAGGTAGGTGAGCAGAGTGATGGAGAGGAAGATGGCGGAGATACCACAGCCGATGTAGGTGATGTAGGTGAGGATTGTGGCCTGGAGACGATTGGTTATGCCCGTTCTGGAGATGTCCTGGGAGAAGAAAGACAAAAAACATGTTGTACACATGGAATTATTCTAAAAATAAGTCCTCCATTGTTGACAAAGACTGAATGGGAGAGATCACATAGCAACCCTGTCTCAGAAAGGACTCACCAGTAGCACACCAAAGCTGGTGAGATGGTTGCAGGCACAGACGGTCTCATTATCTGTGCTGTTCCGGACAGAGCAGCCGTCTCGGTTCCAGCCTCCTGAGCCACCTACCAGAAATTGTTTTTAAAATTCTTTAATGCCTGTCAATTGTCAGAGGTAGTCTTAATTTCATTTTGGGAGACACAAGAGGAACACTTACCATTCAAGCCAAAGTCCCAGAAAGCACATGAAACCACAAAATTAGCCTGTGTAGACAAATGATGAAGAGAAGACAGGGTGTCAAGGATTGTCAACAAGGTGACTGACATGAAATACTTTCTCCAGATGTCCCATCCTTGACATAGGGAAAAATGGACTAGATGAATGCACAGTGTGTTTGTTTGACTCACTGGGACGGGCTCAGTGTTTCTCAGGGTGATCACCACGTCCTCCTGCAGAGATTTGATTGACAGGTTCGCCACACTGGCTCCCAAGATCCCACTGTACAGCCTGCTGTCTCCCAGGGCTCGGTCCTGAGGAACGGCATGGAAAGAATACTATCCAATTACTATACAATATTTTACTAGGGTGTCACAGTTCTTCATTTCTTACCAATTTATGTGACATTTATTCAGTCATCATATCTACATAAATAGCAAGGGATGCTTAAGTAGCAATGGAGGTTTAGGCTTGGCAATAGGTTGGGACAGTATTGAATACAGAGGAGCAGGTAAAGCACCTGGAACACAGTGCTCTTCTGGTAGAAGTTGAACTGGAGTCTGGAGGCCTGTAGCTGCTGCTCAGGGGAGAGGTTCGCTGTGAGGGAGGAGGGAAACGTGACGGAGCCCTGAGGAAGGGAACCCTCCTCGGCTCTCACACTTCTCCTGGCTCTGCCGCCTCCACGGATCTGGAGGGGACACATTTCTCTATGGTTAACATGTAGCAATAAACAGGAGTTATGTGTCTATCTACATACCACATCGTACCAGACATGCGGTAGAGTGCAAATATCATTCATGTAGAGTGAAGGATGTCCTACATTACTTTTGCATATATTTTGACGGCAACCGAGGCTACAGTATTTGCTATTCAGTGTTTCCTTACTGGAAGGTTTAGGTCATACCTGTACATTGTTAGGGTCCGGGATGGAGAAAGATGTTTGCTGGAAATTAGTGCCGTCCACTGTTTTGACAGCAACAGCAACCGACTTAGTTAAAATTGTAGCCTCTTGCTGAACGACCAGCTTCAGGCCCACCGTATCAACAATCCCAATGATCCTGGTAGAAAAATCAACTGTTATTCTGATGTGCAGGCTGGTCAAGGCCATTGCTAAGATTTCTTCCGGTTTTAAGAAAATGTTGTCACAGTCTCTTTACAGGCTTTGTATAAGTAATAATTTATGGTACAGCTAAACAGGCAGCTAACAGGCAGCTAACAGGCAGCTAAACAGGCAGCTAACAGGCAGCTCAACAGGCAGTTCAACAGGCAGCTCAACAGGCAGCTCAACAGGCAGCACAACAGTAGATTGTTTATCTCCAGGCAGCTCACTTGGTGGAGGAGGAAGCCAGAGTGCCAGAGGAGGCACCCAGCAGGTTGCTAACAATCTTGACAGAGGTTTGCCCCAGAGCCAGGCTGACATTGGGCCCGGCCAGCAGGGCCTCCAGCTGGGACACCAGCTGGTCCACCTGGGAGGAGTTGAGCTTGGACACGTTACTAGTCAGATCCAGCAGCTGGTTGGCCTGCTCTACACTACTGGCTGCTGTGGTGTTGGGCGCTGTGAGGAGAAGGATCCATAATAAAAACAAGGACGTTATCAGAGGGGAACTTTGACTTTGGCTCTAAATATTAAATGTAAATGAATGTGGCAGTGGCAGCTATGGCCCAGGTAATTCAGAGATCAGCTTGGGATAATATCCCGGGGGTTACCTGCAGTGGTTGTTGTTATTACAGCTGTCGTGGTGTACTTTGGGGAAGCTGTTGTGTGATTCACTGGTGGAATGATGGGTGTTGATGGGTTTGTAGTGGTATTACCCAGGGTCGTCGTGGCAATGGTTGTATTTGGAGCTGATAATGTAGTATTTGGAGCTGTAGAAGTGGTGTTTAGCGGAGCTAATGTTGTGTACAATGGGAGGGAGGAGGTGTTTAGCTGTATCGTGTTAGTGGGTGGAGGAGACAGTATCGTTGTTGCAGGTAAAAAGGTGTTAGCCATTGTGTTGGGTGAAGTAGTAGGAGGCATGGGGTCGCACGTTTCATTCAGGAGCACACACACATTTTCCCCTTGTTTGCTAAACAGAGAAAGGGACAGATAAATGTAGATCTTCAGTGCATATAGTCGATTATATATTTAAGTAATAAGGCCAGAGGAGGTGTGGTATATGGCCAATATACCACAGATAAGGGCTTTCATATGCACAATGCAATGCAGAGTGCCTGGATACAGCCCTTAGCCGTGGTATATTGGCTATATACCACAAACCCCCGAGTGTCACGACTTCCGCCGAGGCTGCCTCCCTTCCTTGTTCGGGCAGATTTCGGCGTTCGGCGTCACCGGCTTACTAGCTACTGCCGATCCATTTATCATCACTCCATTTGTCTTGTCTTCAATCACACACACCTGGTCCTTATTCCCTCATTAGTCATGGTATAAGTGTTCCCTCTGCTTCCTTGTCTGTGTGGGTGATTGTTTATTGTGGAGGTTTGTGAAGCTCGGTGGAGGTTGTGTATTGTGTATCGACGGGAGTTTTTCCTGTGTTCCTGTATGCCTTGTGCCCTGGAGTGTGTTTGACGCATTTCTGCGTAAACCTGTATTTTGCGGATTAAAGCCTGTTATTCTGTGATTTACCCTCCTGCTCCTGACTTCTTCAACACCACCTCATCACAGAATCACCCACCCGAACAAGGAGGGGAGGCAGCCTCGGCGGAAGTCGTGACACAGAGGTACCTTATTGCTATTATAAACTGGTTACCAACGTAATTAGAACAGTAAAAAGTATTTTTGTCATACCCATGGTATACGGTCTGATATACATATAAAAAAAAAAATGTTTTAGTCATTTAGCAGACGCTCTTATCCAGAGCGACTTACAGTTAGTGAGTGCATACATTTTTCATACTGGCCCCCCGTGGGAATCGAACCCACAACCTTGGCGTTGCAAGCGCCATGCTCTACCAACTGAGCTTTCAGCCAATCAACATTCAGAGCTCGATTTATAAATAGCTATATAACTTCAATGTACAAATAACAATGTGCAATGTGCTTACTCTCCATCATTTAGTGTTTTACACAATTACAAAATGTGTAACAAGGTTTTGCTGTCTTTGAAACACACAAAGAGAGACTGAACTGACCAGCTGATGACGTCATATGTATTTTCAACCTCACAGAACATAGTGGGGTTGAGGTTGATCTCCTTCCACATGAAGGTCGAATTCAATAGACCTCCACTGGATCCTGGCCAGCCACAAATGGCTGTGTGAAATATGAACACAAACAGTCAGAAACACAAACTGTATAATGTGTATTTTTTAAAATATTTTTGTCATTTAGCAGACGCTCTTATCCTGAGCGACTTACAGTTAGTGAGTGCATACTGGCCCCCCGTGGGAATTGAACCCACAACCTTGGCGTTGCAAGGGTATATATGAATAAATACACAGATGCTTTCACCATCCATGGTATGGCTACTCACCCGCTCGCGTCACCGTTCCATTATAGCCAATACCAGGCTTATCATTGAACAGATTCATCAATGCAGTACTGACTGTACATATAGGCACCGAATGGTCAAGGCGCACGATAACCCTGCAGCTTTGGAGACTGGTAGGAAAACAGTGATGGTATAGTTATTAATAGGTCACACCACCCTCATCACTCCACATAAAGGGCCGTCTTGAATGTACTGTAGAAGTTTTTGGCCTGCAAGGAGTACAGGAACTCACTTGGTATTTACGCCACTACATTCCACATGAGCATCCTGTGTGAAAACAACACAGAATAGCTCATAAGGTTTCAAATGATGTCACCCCAAGACTGTGTCAATAAGTTAGCATATGGTTTCTTTACAGAGAAACATAAAACAATGAAAGCTCATTGTGGGGTTGGGGTATTATCTCAATGTAAAATTACCTGGTAGATAGTTGATATGATGGGGGGACAGGGAGAACTGTAACAGAGAATTACGTCAGAAAAAATATCAAACGTAGTGTAGCAAGGTATGGCGCTATATGTACTATTGGGCTTAATTTACGCTGTAATGATCTAATTGGAAAGTGTGAGCATATTGACGTTAAGCAGAGAGAAAACAGTTTTAAAACAGATGAAAAGGACATACTGTGTCTCTGAGGTGTTGGTGCAGGGTGAAGGTTTTTTTAGCTGATCAATCTAGGGAACACAGCGCGCGCACACACACACACACACATGCATAAAATTACAAACACACACACACACAGATATATGCACACAAACACTCACAAACAGGTGACACAACAGAAACAACTCACCATATATAAGATGTTTGAAATATTCATAGCAGGATCTTTGATCTGTATACCCAAGGTATAGTATGCAGCTAAACAGAGAGGGAGGAAGATAGAGTTATCAAATGGTGGGAGATGAAAAGGTGTAGCGGGTCCATCGCAGTATCAGTGACATTTTCTAATCGATGTTTTATTTAACTAGGCAAGTCAGTTAAGAACAAATTCTTATTTACAATGACGGCCTACCCTGGCCAAACCCGGACGACACTGGGCCCTATGGGACTCCCAATCACGGCCGGATTGTGATACAGCCCGGAATCAAACCAGGGTCTGCAATGATGCCTCTAGCACTGAGATGCAGTGCCTTAGACCGCTGCGCCACTCGGTGCCCAAAATGATCTGTTTATTTGTAAATATTGCATTTACCTTTACCATAGCAATAAGCGGAGCAGTTGCAGAAAATCTCCGCCTCTGAAAAGCAGGAATGTGGTACTTATCAAGATAGAGGGGTTCACCATCGTTACAGTGTTAATATGTATATATTTGATTTATATTTATTTATATTCTTTATTATTAATTGTATTGTTTTTATTTCACTTTGATGGAGCTTAAGACTTTCACTGTACCCTGTAATTACACCTGCAACCCTGTACATCTGACTATTAAACTTCTAATCTAATCTAGATAACAATATGTGTTTAAAACCCCCACTGAAGTTTGAAATGGCAAATTATTGTGTCTGCCTCTTAAATGTTACACTATCACATGGGTAAATGAGCAAGGGTGAAAAAAATGTAATAGTTTTTACCGATTGGGGGTTTAGGGGGCATGCCACAGTTCATTTGGGTTTGATTCCCAAGAGGTACGTAAACAGTCCCTGCATGCCCACTGTAAGATACAACATGTTCATATGAGAGGATGTACAGTGCCTTCGGAAAGTATTCAGACCCCTTGACTTTTTCCACATTTTGTTACGTTACAGCCTTAATCTAAAATACATTACAATTTTTTTAAATCCTCTGCAATATATATACACAATACCCCATAATGACAAAGCAAAAACTGTTTTTTAGAAATGTTTGCAATTGTATTAAAAAATGTAAACAGAAATACCTTATTTACATAAGTATTCAGACCTATTGCTATGAGACTCGAAATTGAGCTCAGGTGCATCCTGTTTCCATTGATCATCCTTGAGATGTTTCTACAATTTGATTGGAGTCCACCTGTGGTAAATTCAATTGATTGGATATGATTTGGAAAGGCACACACCTGTCCATATAAGATCCCACAGTTGACAGTGCATGTCAGAGCAAAAACCAAGCCATGATGTTGAAGGAATTGTCCGTAGAGCTCCAAGACAGGATTGTGTCGAGTCACAGATCTGGGGAAGGGTACCAAACAATGTCTGCAGCATTGAAGGTCCCCAAGAACACAGTGGCCTCAATCATTCTTAAATGGAAGAAGTTTGGAACCACCAAGACTCTTCCTAGAGCTGGCCACCTGGCCAAACTGAGCAATCGGGGGAGAAAGGCCTTGGTCAGGGAAGTGACCAAGAACCCGTTGGTCACTCTGACAGAGCTCTAGAGTTCCTCTGTGGAGATGGGAGAACCTTCCAGAAGGACAACCATCTCTGCAGCACTCCACCAATCAGGCCTTTATGGTAGAGTGGCCAGACGGAAGCCACTCCTCAGTAAAAGGAACATGACAGCCCGCTTGGAGTTTGCCAAAAGGCACCTAAAGACTCAGACCATGAGAAACAAGATTCTCTAGTCTGATGAAACCAAGATTAAACTCTTTGGCCTGAATGCCAAGCGTCACGTCTGGAGAAAACCTGGCACCATCCCTACGGTGAAGCATGGTGGTGGCAGCATCATGCTGTGGGGATGTTTTTCAGCGGCAGGGACTGGGAGACTACTCAGGATCGAGGCAAAAATGAACGGAACAAAGTACAGAGCGATCCTTGATGAAAACCTGCTCCAGAGCGCTCAGGACCTCAGACTGGGGCAAGGTTCACCTTCCAACAGGACAACGACCCTAAGCACACAGCCAAGACAACGCAGGAGTGGCTTCAGGACAAGTCTCTGAATGTCCTTGAGTGGCCCAGCCAGAGCCCGGACTTGAACCTGATCGAACATCTCTGGAGAGACCTGAAAATAGCTGTGCAGCAACGCTCCCCATCCAACCTGATAGAGCTTGAGAGGATTTGCAGAGAAGAATGGGAGAAACTCCCCAAATACAGGTGTGCCAAGCTTGTAGCGACATACCCAAGAAGACTCGAGGCTGTAATCGCTACCAAAGGTGCTTCAACAAAGTACTGAGTAAATGGTCTGAATACTTACGTAAATGTGATATTTCGGGGGTTTTATTTCTAAATTAGCAAAGATGTCTTACAACCTGTTTTTGCTTTGTCATTATGGGGTATTGTGTGTAGATTGATGAGGGACAAAAACAATTTAATCAATTTCAGAATAAGGCTGTAACCTAACAAAATGTTGAAAAGTCAAGAGGTCTGAATACTTTCCGAAGGCACTGTATACCCTATTGATACTATAGAAATGCTACAAAACACAGAAACAGCAGCATAGTATTTACTTTTCCAGAGTGACATCCAACTTACCATGAGATATTGACAGGCTCTGGAGTGTGACACGTGTCTGGAAGAGGGAGGGTGCCATTGAGGAAGCCGTTGCACTTTGCAAAACCATTACTTGGCGGCAGTTGGCCTGCACACAGACCTTTACCTAGAAGCAACAAGCAACAGACGTCAGGCTCAGATAAATGTACATTCCTGTGAGAGATTTCAGACTCACATTAGGGTCAATGCGACTCACCCACTCTCTCCACTCTATTTCCCACTATATTGGTTTGTATGGTGCTGTTCTCCTGACCCAGCCACAGGGCCCGCTGAAAACAACAGGGAAACGTTGGCTTCCTCGTCTGCAGCAGCACAGTGCACCTAGTCCTCCTGGAGGTTTTGGGGCAATATTAAGGTGTGGTGCAGGACACATGATGCTGAACTGTAGTATTGAAATTAGTGGAGGTATTTCCACCACAGGAGGCTGGTGAGGGGAGGACGGCTCATATTAATGACTGGAATGAAGTGAATGGAATGGTATCAAACACAAGGAAACCGTGTGTTTGATGTGTCGATACCATTCCATTAATTCCATTGCAGCCATTACTATGAGCCCGTCCTCCCCAATTCAGGGGCCACCAGCCGCCTGTGAGGTTAACTAACCTGATCCCTGTTTTATTGACACACGTCACCTCAATGTCCTGTAAAGATAAGAGTTTTGATTCAACTCACATACTTTCACAGACAAAGAAAAAGTACCCTCTATTGTTCACATGCACATTAAGGCAGGTTTGTCTGGAGAGAGATCTAGTCTTACTTGAAACAGGCTGGCAGCAGTCATATTTCCACCTTCATGCGCTTCACTGAAGAACAGACAGTGAATAAACAGAGTTAGCTTTAGAATATATTTGTTTTGTTGATATTCAAACATAATATTCTGCACATCTACGGTATAAATCATAACGAACAATAATGACGTGTGACAAAATACTTTACCTTGTGGTGCTATGGGGCCAGTTGGGGGACATGGTATAGCTGGGAGAAAGAGTTGTCATGCTATGGTTGTGTGAGGGAGTACTAATACTATTGTAAAGCATAGTTGTCATGTTTGTTGTCAAGGTTGTCATGCTGAAGTTGATGAAGTTCTGGGATAGTGTTGTCATGTTGTAGGGGGTGGGATATGTTGGACTGACAGAGGTGGTTTGCAGTGTGTCAGTCGAGTTTGTTCCATTTGCTTGTTCAGGCTTGTAGGGCTCACAGGTGTCCAAGTGAGAATGAAATAGAGCCCATAACTGAAAAAGGAAAACAATGCTGTCACATTTGATGTAGAGTTGAAGTCGGAAGTTTACATACACCTTAGCCAAATACATTTAAACTCAGTTTTTCACAATTCCTGACATTTAATCCTAGTAAAAATACCCTGTCTTAGGTCAGTTAGGATCACCACTTTATTTTAAGAATGTGAAATGTCAGAATAATAGTAGAGAGAATGATTTATTTCAGCTTTTATTTATTTCATCACATTCCCAGTGGGTCAGAAATTTACATACACTCAATTAGTATTTGGTAGCATTGCCTTTAAATTGTTTAACTTGGGTCAAACGTTTCAGGTAGCCTTCCACAAGCTTCCCACAATAAGTTGGGTGAATTTTGGCCCATTCCTCCTGACAGACCTGAGTGAAGTTTGTAGGCCTCCTTGCTCGCACACGCTTTTTCAGTTCTGCCCACACATTTTCTATAGAATTGAGGTCAGGGCTTTGTGATGGCCACTCCAATACCTTGACTTTGTTGTCCTTAAGCCATTTTGCCACAAATTTGGAAGTATGCTTGGGGTCAAGACCCATTTGCAACGAAGCTTTAACTTCCTGACTGATGTCTTGAGATGTTGCTTCAATTTATCCACATAATTTTCCTTCCTCATGATTCCCTCTATTTAGTGAAGTGCACCAGTCCCTCCTGCAGCAAACACCCCCACAGCATGATGCTGCCACCCCCTTTTTCCTCCAAACATAACAATGGTCATTATGGCCAAACAGTTATATTTTTGTTTCATCAGACCAGAGGACATTTCTCCAAAAAGTAAGATCTTTGTCCCCATGTGCAGTTGCAAACCGTAGTCTGGCTTTTTTATGGCGGTTTTGGAGAAGTGGCTTCTTCCTTGCTGAGCGGCCTTTAAGGTTATGTCGATATAGGACTGTGGATATAGATACTTTTGTACCTGTTTCCTCCAGCATCTTCACAAGGTCCTTTGCTGTTGTTCTGGGATTGATTTGCACTTTTCGCACCAAAGTACGTTAATCTCTAGGAGACAGAACGCGTCTCCTTCCTGAGCGGTATGACGGCTGCGTGGTCCCATGGTGTTTATACTTGCGTACTATTGTTTGTACAGATGAACACGGTACCTTCAGGCATTTGGAAATTGCTCCCAAGGATGAACCAGACTTGTGGAGGTCTACCATTCTTTTTCTGAGGTCTTGGCTGATTTCTTTTGATTTTCCCATGATGTCAAGCAAAGAGGCACTGAGGTTGAAGGTAGGCCTTGAAATACATCCACAGGTACACCTCCAATTGACTCAAATGATGTCAATTAGCTTATCAGAAGCTTCTAAAGCCATGACATCATCATCTGGAATTTTCCAAGCTGTTTAAAGGCACAGTCAACTTAGTGTATGTAAACTTCTGACCCACTGGAATTGTGATACAGTGAATTATGAGTGAAATATTCTGTCTGTAAACAATTGTTCGAAAAATTACTTGTGTCATGCACAAAGTAGATGTCCTAACCGACATGCCAAAACCATAGTTTGTTAAAAATAAATTTGTGGAGTGGTTGAAAAATGAGTTTTAATGACTCCAACCTAAGTGTATGTAAACTTCCGACTTCAACTGTATAACTAAACAAATGTACAGTTTCAACACGATTCATCACACATCAGTCAATCAGGTTTCATTCACATTCCTGTGGCCTACCCAGCCACTGATGTCCGACTCATTCTTCAGGTCTCCAGTCACCTCCACCGCAAGGATCATCCAGTAGTACACGGCTGTTAAACATACACATTACATTGGATTTCATCGTACATTTCAAATCAATCAATCAATCATACTTTATTTATATAGCACATTTCTTACCCCCCCCCCAAAAAAAAATAACGTAACGTGCAAGTACAATACCAGTGGACATGAAAGACTAATGCCTCAATATCATATATTCATATTATAAACATGATTCATTAAACGTACACTGATTGGCACAGAGCTGTGAGAAGTTACAATGTACCTCTGCTGACTCTGAAACAGAGAGGGGAGAGGAGATATGTGAGGATCAGTGCAAACCAATGCAACACTTACAGATAATTTTCCTGGAGAGCAGGAAATGCAAACTTGTAGTGTATTTCGAGGTTTAAAAAGGCTTCTAAAGTTGGTAATTTCCACTTTAAAATGTCAGACTTGATTTGCCCTAACAAAAAAATTGACCAACCCCTACAAGAAATGTACATTAATTATAATCCACATAATAATTCACATTTCCTGTTGCTGCAGGATTATTTTCCCGCTGTAGCAAACTGGCTCAAATTAAGATCCTACATCTGTAGCTCCACACAAACTCCTCTATTATACAGCGACTTAATCTCACATACAGTCAATAGTATGATTACTCTTTGTGTTACACCCCTCCACCATTACTAAGGCTGTTGACTTACCTGTACTGGCATTAGAGGTGAATGTTGTTGGCAAAGGTGTGGAGTGTCCTGGAGGAGTGTTATTTTTAGAGGTCACTGAAATGGAGAGACAGGAGTCCATTCACTTGCTGAGTCTGACTGTACAATGAGTGTCATTGAATGATGAGATTTTAACATACTGTAGTAAGTATTGTCTAATTTACTGTTGGCAGTGGACGTTATGATGGGCGAGGTTGAGTGCAGAATAGTGGATGGATATGGCATGGTGGACATCATTGGTTCATTAGTCATGTTGGATGAGGCAGTGTGCAGTGGTGATGGGTGAGGGGTTGTAAGGGATGTGAGGGGTGGGGTTGTTGCATTAGACATGGGCACTGAGACTGCTGACGTGTTTGGAGTGTTAGATGAAGAAATGTCTGTAGTGGTTAATGTGGCTGTGGATGGGATGGTTGATGGAGCTGCAGGTGTTGTGGTTATAGCTGATGTGGTGGGATATGGTGTAGTTGTTGTGTTAGTATGTGACATGATTGATGCTAAAGTATTTGGGGTGGTAGACACTGTTGTACTGGATGTGGTTGTGATTGGTGTGGATGTTGTTGGTGTAGTTGTTGTGGTTGTAGTTGGTGTGGATGTTGTTGGAGAAGGTGTGGTTGTTCTAGCTGATGTGGTTGTGGTTGGTGTGGATGTTGTTGGTGTAGTTGTTGTAGTTGTTGGAGGAGGTGTTGTTGTTGTAGTTGATGTGGGTGTGGATGTTGTTGTTGTAGTTGTTGGAGAAGGTGTGGTAGTTGTAATTGATACAGTTGTAGTTGTTGGAGAAGGTGTGGTAGTTGTAGTTGATATGGTTGTAGTTGTTGGAGGAGATGTGGTAGTTGTAGTTGATATGGTTGTATTTGTTGGAGAAGGTGTGGTAGTTGTAGTTGATATGGTTGTAGTTGTTGGAGAAGGTGTGGTAGTTGTAGTTGATATGGTTGTAGTTGTTGGAGAAGGTGTGGTAGTTGTAGTTGATATGGTTGTAGTTGTTGGAGAAGGTGTGGTAGTTGTAGTTGATATGGTTGTAGTTGTTGGAGAAGGTGTGGTAGTTGTAGTTGATATGGTTGTAGTTGTTGGAGAAGGTGTGGTAGTTGTAGTTGATATGGTTGTAGTTGTTGGAGAAGGTGTGGTAGTTGTAGTGATATGGTTGTAGTTGTTGGAGAAGGTGTGGTTAGTTGTAGTTGATATGGTTGTAGTTGTTGGAGAAGGTGTGGTAGTTGTAGTTGATATGGTTGTAGTTGTTGGAGAAGGTGTGGTGTTGTAGTTGATAGGTTGTAGTTGTTGGAGAAGGTGTGTGGTAGTTGTAGTTGATATGGTTGTAGTTGTTGGAGAAGGTGTGGTAGTTGTAGTTGATATGGTTGTAGTTGTTGGAGAAGGTGTGGTAGTTGTAGTTGATATGGTTGTAGTTGTTGGAGAAGGTGTGGTAGTTGTAGTTGATATGGTTGTAGTGTTGGAGAAGGTGTGGTAGTTGTAGTGATATGGTTGTAGTTGTTGGAGAAGGTGTGGTAGTTGTAGTTGATATGGTTGTAGTTGTTGGAGAAGGTTTGGTCGTTGTAGTTGATATGGTTGTAGTTGTTGGAGAAGGTTTGGTCGTTGTAGTTGATATGGTTGTAGTTGTTGGAGAAGGTTTGGTCGTTGTAGTTGATATGGTTGTAGTCGGTGTAGTTGATATAGTTGTTATAAGCGGTGCACTTTGTGGAGGTAAAGATGGAGGATGGGTTGAGAAGGGTGGAGGTTGAGATGTTTGTGCAAAGGAATGTCCTGAGAACAGAAACAGAGAAGTCAACATCGGTCAGTGTAATGACAACATTAGACACAAGGCTACTTCCCCAGATCAGGGAGCCCGACAGACAGTCTGTGGCAACAAGATCAGTGAACAATGCACCAGCCAGAATGGCCAGTAAAAGCCTACTGTTAACAGTCGACTGGCTGTTGATAACAGGCCTTTCTCCATACACTACAATAAAAACCACCCACTCCTTCCTCTTTTCTCAACAGTTCTCTTTTCCTCTTCTTCCTCCCTACCTCTTCTTCCTAACTCTTCTTCCTCCCTACCTCTCGGCCTCAGTATTACTCATTGTTTCCATCTAAAGTGTGTGTTGAATAACAACATCCTTGTGACATTTCTGGGCGTTAAGTCGCAGGTGAGACTCGAACCAGACTAGCAGGTTTTTCTATAATTGGGAGGTATGAGGCATTGTGTGTGTGTTGATTCCAGGTAATGCTGAGTGACTGGCATGTCAGACTTCTCCAGCCTAACAGTAGGATGGGGTTTCTCAGATTCCCTCTGTAGACAGCTAAACAGACTGAGACATTCCTCAATGGTCTCTCAGTACAACCTTTGGATTGTGTTCTCAAAAGGTGTGCTTCTCATGTACAGTGTTGCTTACTGTATATAAGACCTCACCTATGGCTGCATGAAGAAGAAGGAGCAGGAGGGATATCCGGAGCAGGCTTGGATGTCTCCTAGTTCCCATGTGTAGGAGATCAGAGGTCATCGTTCTGTAAAACAACAGTTCACAGCATCAACGTTAACAACTCATAATTCAATCCCAACACATTTCATTGTTAAAGCAACTCTGTATTAACTCTGATGAGAATCCTTTACCACAAATGAAACAAAATACTTTGATTGCACTACTGAGATAGTGGTGGTGTGGTGAGACCAAACTAATTAAATGTCCAAAAAATAGACGATACTGTCTAGATTTAGCCCAGTCTAATTGAATGACCGAGAGATAAGATTTTACTGATGAGACAAGTATAAGGAACACACAGACACCATACATCCCCTTTACAGTACAAGGAACACACAGACGCCATACATCCCCTTTACAGTACAAGGAACACACAGACGCCATACATCCCCTTTACAGTACAAGGAACACACAGACGCCATACATCCCCTTTACAGTACAAGGAACACACAGACGCCATACATCCCCTTTACAGTACAAGGAACACACAGACGCCATACATCCCCTTTACAGTACAAGGAACACACAGACGCCATACATCCTCTCTACACTATAAGGAACACACAGACACCATACATAATCTTTACAGGAACAGTCAAGATCTCATCTCGGATGTCTGATTGATAAGATTTATACATCAATATTAAAATCCACATTTTGTTCTCTGAATGAATAAAATATTTTGGGTGTGTCTTCTGATCTCTCAGAAATGATGTTACCTAACACTAGTATGGAGTACATTACTCTAAAGTAAACACATTACTGTGTGCCTGTTCTGACACACTTCCATTTACACTATCAGTTGTGTCCTGAAACAATATTACAATTACTCTGATCCATTCACCTGGAGAGCTGCAGAATATGTATACTGGTTGATTTTTTTATAACATAATTGGGAAACCACACACACACACACACACACACACACACACACACACATATACACACACACATTCTGACACTGTTTGATCATTCCTATGTGGGATAATATTGACAGTCTGGCAGAGATGTATGTTCAAATCAACAATGCTACTATAGTTTCTTATTTGTACAGATTAGATTGTATAGATTAGATTAGTTCATGTTATTTGTCTTCCTCTTTCTGTGGTATTGCATATTTTCTGAGATAGGGAATAATATCAGTGATGGTAGGTTTCCAATAACTATTTCCAAAATCATTATAAAAATGTGAAATCAGAACATGAATGCCATGTAGACCTAGCTACAATAACATATATTGACCAATAACAACACTGTAACATCATCTATATTGACCAATAACAACACTGTAACATCGTCTATATTGACCAATAACAACACTGTAACATCATATATATAGACCAATAACAACACTGTTACACCATCTATCTCAACCTATTATTATTTTTGATCTTCACATTTAATAATATAAATTGCTACCATAACGGACTACAGAAAAACTATTCATCCTCAATGTCAATGGTAACGGTCAATCTCAAATCACTGACAGCCTGGACCTATAGCCTATATGTAGGTAGGCTACTGTAGGTCTATGACCTGAACAGCAGAGAAAGATTCTGTGAGGAATATATTTTACCTGGTGAAGCACCGCATCCGGACACAGCGCACTCCACAACTCCACATAGCTGGCGCCTTGTCGGGGTTGTCCTCATCTCCATAAAACATGTGTTTCTCATCGACGATGCAACAATCCAGATTTAGGCAATTTTCAGCACTGACCCCCTGATAGATCAATTTAATAAATCAAGTTTATGATTGTCCTTCCCCTCTCAGACCGACTTAATATACTAAATATACGGCACAAATAAAAGCGCAAATGTTTCCTTACTGTAAAAATAGTCCAGGCAGCTAAACCAACGTGAGGTTAGTAGCAGTGACTTTCTCACCATCATTACGTCACATGTGGGACACGCCCCTAAAACGTCAAATACAGTTCTGAAAAATGTACTGTACTCGTCATTGACTGTACCTGACCAAGATACATAAAACTTTTATGAGAGAAAATTAAACAAGGCTTAAATACCTATTTTATTAACACTTTCAACCTTTTTCAACTTTTTATCATTTGTTTTTACTTTTTTGTATAATTCTTTCTGGAATATAACAGGTCAATGTTCAGTGAATCTGGCCCTTAGGCTACAGTTTATCCAGTTCTCACATGTTACTAGCTAGCCTGTTAATCTTGAATATCATATGATATTTAATTATATTTCTATATTAATGGAGTTGAAAATAAGTGGATTAAGACCCAAGTAATGAAGAGTTAGACCCAAAGAAGTGGCCAGATGCTTTCTGCAGTTTCAGTTTTTTTAAGGTCAATTGACCTTAAGGGTTAATGTATTTGGAGGTCAGTTGTTTGGCCCAGATGGTTTCAGGGTCAGAAGGTAGAGCATAGCTGTGTCTAAGGATAGTACTGTACTTGTCTAGACTGGTGCGCAGGGGATGAGGTGTGCCCCATGGTTCAGTGTGTTGCCATTGTGTGGCGCTAACACAAAACCGGTCAGGTGTGTTTCTTTCCTTTTCAGGGGGTTGATCAGTTTCTAAAATGCTAAACGATTGTGGCTTCTATCAATGTAATTATCTGCATAATTTCCAATCCCCCATATATATATATTTATAAATATATATATTATTTTAAATATATAAACTCAGCAAAAAAATAAACGTCCTCTCACTGTCAACTGCGTTTATTTTCGGCAAACATAACATGTGTAAATATTTGTATGAACATAACAAGATTCAACAACTGAGACATAAACTGAACAAGTTCCACAGACATGTGACTAACAGAAATTGAATAATGTGTCCCTGAACAAAGGGGGGGTAAAAATCTAAAGTAACAGTAAGTATCTGGTGTGGCCACCGGCTGCAATAAGTACTGCAGTGCATCTCCTCCTCATGGACAGCACCAGATTTGCCAGTTCTTGCTGTGAGATGTTACAACCACTCTTCCACCAAGGCACCTGCAAGTTCCCGGACATTTCTGGGGGGCACGGCCCTAGCCCTCACCCTCCGATCCAACAGGTCCCAGACGTGCTCAATGGGATTGAGATCCGGGTTCTTCGCTGGTCATGGCAGAACACTGACATTCCTGTCTTGCAGGAAATCACGCACAGAACGAGCAGTATGGCTGGTGGCATTGTCATGCTGGAGGGTCATGTCAGGATGAGCCTGCAGGAAGGGTACCGCATGAGGGAGGAGGATGTCACTTTAATAATGTTTACATCTTGGACTACTCATCTCATATGTATATACTGCATTCTATTCTATAACATTCTACTGTATCTTAGTCCATGCCGCTCTGTCATTGCTTGTCCATATATGTATATATTCTTAAATCCCATTCCTTACTAGTTTTGTGTGTATTGGGTATATGTTGTGAAATTTTTAGATATGACTTGTTAGATATTACTGCACTGTCGGAGCTAGAAGCACAAGCATTTCGCTACACCCGCTAAAACATCTGCTAAACACGTGTATGTGACAAATACAATTTGATTTGATTTGTCTTCCCTGTAACCCACAGCTCAGTCCGATGATGCTGTGACACACTGCCCCAGACTATGACGGACCCTCCACCTCCAAATCAAGTACAGGTCTCAGTGTAACGCTCATTCCTTCAACGATAAACGTGAATCCGACCATCACCCCTGGTGTGACAAAACCGCGACTCGTCAGTGAAGAGCACTTTTTGCCAGTCCTGTCTGGTCCAGCGACGGTGTGTTTGTGCCCATAGGCAACATTGTTGCCGGTGATGTCTGGTGAGGACCTGCCTTACAACAGGCCTACAAGCCATCAGTCCATCCTCTCTCAGCCTATTGCGGACAGTCTGAGCACTGATGGAGGGATTGTGCGTTCCTGGTGTAACTCGGGCAGTTGTAACTGGTGTGATGTTCGGATGTACCGATCCTGTGCAGGTGTTGTTACACGTGGTCTGCCACTGCGAGGACGATCAGCTGTCCATCCTGTCTCCCTGTAGCGCTGTCTTAGGCGTCTCACATTACAGACATTGCAATGTATTGCCCTGGCCACATCTGCAGTCCTCAGATGTGGCCAGGGCAACATAATAATAATAATAATAATATGCCATTTAGCAGACGCTTTTATCCAAAGCGACTTACAGTCATGTGTGCATACATTTTTAAGTATGGGTGGTCCCGGGGATCGAACCCACTACCCTGGCGTTACAAGCTCCATGCTCTACCAATTGAGCTACAGAGGACCACAACAACCCAGATAGCAGTGTAACAGTAATACAAATTTAATCTATATGTATATACACCGATTAATTTCCACAAGATATACGAGGAATGGTATGTACAGCAGTAGATATATTAGTGAGCTATGTCAAGAATTCAGCATATACATAAAAATGCGGTGTGTATAAAACAGTGTAACTAAAATACAATGTACAGTAGTAGAAATATTTGAATGAGCCATGTCGAGAATACAGTATTTAAATACACAGTGTGAAACGGGAAGTGTCCAGTGGTTTAATGTCTCTATTACATGGGACAGCAGCGTTGGCTGTGTGTGTGTGTGTGTGTGTGTGTGTGTGTGTTTATGAGTATGAGGTATGTATGTGTGTGTGTGATGGCTTGTGTGTGTATTTTGTGTGAGTAGTGTGCATCACTTGGTAGGCGTGGCACGTTCACGCAGATGCCTAAGGCACGTTCACAGATGCCTAAGGCACGTTCACGCAGATGAGCAGGGACCCTGGGCATCTTTCTTTTGGTGTTTTTCAGAGTCCATAGAAAGGCCTCTTTAGTGTCCTAAGTTTTCATAACTGTGAGCTTATTTGCCTATCGTCTGTAAGCTGTTAGTTTCTTAATGACCGTTCCACAGGTGCATGTTCATTAATTGTTTATGGTTCATTGAACAAGCATGGGAAACAGTGTTTAAACCCTTTACAATGAAGATCTGTGAAGTTATTTGGATTTGTATGAATTATCTTTGAAAGACAGGGTCCTGAAAAAGGGGCGTTTCTTTTTTTGCTGAGTTTATATATTTTTAAATATATTTTCCTTTATTATTTCCCCCTAACCCTACCACCCCTCCCCTAATTTGAGTAAACTAATGGACAACAACACTTAGGCTTCTACTTTCAGCTTATACACACTATATACATTTAATATCTTTGTTTGTTTTTAGTCCCATCCTTCAGCTACCCTCAATCCCTCCCATCTATCTCTGAAGACCATCCAGTTTTGATTTATATTTGCCATATATTTTTCAACTGTGTTGTGATGTTTCACAAAAGTTCTGAATCTTTCTATTCTCATAGTTTCTACAGATTTTAAATTAAAGATAAACATGTTTGCTAAGAGTATTATAATATTATTGATCGATTGACTATGACTTTTCAAATCACCCAGCAGTGCTATTTGCAGAGTTAACCAAAAACAAGCTACATATGGACAGTACCAAAACAAATGATCTAATGATTCTGTCTCTTCGCAGCAAAATCTGCAGAGCTGGGATGGTTGTATCCTCCACTCCAAATATATTACATTCATTTGAAACCCCACCTCTTTAAGGAATACCTGGGATAGGATAAAGTAATCCTTCTATCCCCCCCCCCCCCCCCCTTACCTTACCGCAAGAATTTTGTATAATAATTTACATTGAAAAACTCTTTGTTTTGTGTATCAGTTCATAAACCATGTGCCATTGAATCAGTACATCGAAATTCTCTTACCAACTATTTTGCAATCTGTATGGCACAACTGTCCATTTTTTGGTCCTTAAATGAAACTGGTATACTTTTTCATTTATCACAATTTTCTTTAACCAATTTTGGTCTTCAATGCAGGGCCGACTAACAAGTTCCTTACTTTCTCCCTCTTCCACTTGCCTCTTCCATTTTTGCGGTAATGCTGTAATTAGTCAGTCAGGTGTGTTTCCACTTTCCAATGTTGCAAAAAGACTTGGAAAGAGTCCTAGTTTTAATGCTGAACATATGAGTGGGCTATTGTTACGTCAGAGAAGGATTTGTTCAGCGTTGGACCTGCATCATTCCTGTCACACTATGCACCTGCTTGACATCGTTCTGAGAGGGAGCCCACCTCTGACTCACCGATAGTCTTGCTCTGCTCACATGCCACACCTGTGTTCCGTTCCCAGTCCTGACTTTCGTTGTGTGGTTCTCTGACATAGGCTGCTATCTGTTGGTAAACTTTTTACCCACCTGCCCTCACCTCAAATGTCTTCATTTTCAAACTGCAGCACCTGTGCATTTGGTTTGGACTGTGTCTCAAATCATCACCATTTGTCTGGTGTGTTTTGGGTATGGCACAATTCTATGATATTACAGTATTGTATTAATTCTTCTACTGGTTGAGAGCTGTCCAAAATATGATCCATCTAATACTCAGGTCAACAAAACCTGTAACTAATAACCCAATGATTCACCTAACCCAACCAACCTTACCCAAAACAAACGAATTCATTAATGTCTATGTATTTTGTAGCTCATGCATGTCAATTCAAACAAAATGGCGACTGTTGAATTGTTTGGCTGTGATAAAGGATGTGTCCAGTGTTCATTGCACAATTCTCACTCACCTGTGAGTGAGGCAGGGAGAGGCTGCACTAGCCACTAGAGAGATAACTTATAATTACATGTTAAAAACTTCAGAGCCACAGTTGAGTAAGAAACAGCAGCA